GTTTTGGACAGAATTCAATATCATAGAAATAAAGAATTATCTTAAAGCAAACTAGTCGAGTAGTTAAATCTATTTGAAAACGTAAGTTATTTGAATATCTGTTGTTTCATTTCATATATATTCCGTATTTGTTTCTTGACTTAATCAGAAAGCAAATATACAAACGTTTATCTATGGTAGAATTTGGAATCTCTACGAAAAAATCCTGATGTGTGCGTCTATGTATGTATTTCTTACATATTTCTTTTCACACTTTCCAATCTGATAAAACGTTTCAGTAGTTCGAGTTCTTTCTAAAACGAATATTTCACGCGAGGTAAATAGGTAAATATATTTCTTATACGCGAAAGATAATTATTTGTTATCCTTTAGTTTTCACTATCATTTGTAACGATCGAGTATTTAGAAAAGAAATTATTTAGAAATTGTAATATTAATTTATTTCAAATTAGTAAGCCTGGCATTTACGCTATTTACAAACAATTTTATTTTCAAGTAAACACGTTTGCTATTTTATTTGACGTAATTATTTATATTTTTTCATTCGCTATTTTCATTTCCAATAAATTTCGAATAAATATACTGTTCATTATATATATATGTCGGAGGCAGGTTGGCATTTTGGGGCGTTCGACGAACCTCTACTTACTTTATCGTCGCGAATGTAGCCAATCTCTATCAGATGTGGACGCTACCACAGGCTACGAGTAATGGTAATAGGATGGTCGAGATGACAGCGAATTCAGGTCCACGGGAGAACTAGTATCAACGTGCTACTCGATTCGGGTAACTCAATCGGCCATTCGACCAACAACTCACTCACCAACTGACTAACTCAAACTCTCACTCTAACTCTGTCAATCCAAAAGAGGCTACCCTTATATACTCCTGTCCCCGCTTTTCGGGTTAATCTTTGTTTTAAGGAAAGCCATTTATTTATTTCATACCTCTGTCAGGTACATGTCCCTTCCGTGACCGTGGCTACGTCCGGTGACCTGCCATGTCACTTCGAGCCCAAACCCATCGTCATAAAGTCAGATTGGAACATTAAGACTATTTCTTATTTTTATTACTTAAGGGCGGCTATAGTAAAAGTCTGGACTAGTGTATTGGGGTTTTTCCCAACATTCCGGACGGGAAATCCCACTGTCTTTTCTTTTCCGACATATACGTATGTTCAATTTGTTCCTGTACACGCTGTTATCTCCTTAATTATTGAAACTTAATAATATATTCCGATTTCTTTTTACATTTTTATTTAAAGAGAGGTCAATGTCAATATAGCTTTTTTAAATGGAATTATACATTTTTTTATACACCATTCGATGCATCTTTTAATTCTCTACAAGAAAGAGGTGTGAAGGTACTTGGGTCGAAAAATGATTAGTTTAAAAGATATTTCAATTTTAATATTGTCAAACTTATGGTACGTGTAGCAAGAAGAACATACATAGCAAACAAACGTAAAAGCGACCCAAGTACTTTTATAGCTTTATGTAGGGTATACAAAAATATATTAGCATTAGTATTCATTGCACCATCCGTACACTGTTCAACGTTACACTTAAAAGTGTTGCATTGGCATTGAAATCTCTTTAAATAAGAATGTAAAAAAAGATTGCAAAATCTTCTCTTTTCTTTTCGCTTAAGACAATGATTCCCTTCTTGGAGTACATGGTTTTGCTTTTTACTTATTACATATATGCAACATTTACAATTCTATTTAATTTATTTCTTTCTTTCCTCTCTCTCTTTCTCCTTTTCTTCCCTTATTTTCCTTCTTCTTTATAATTTATTGTTCTTGTTATTTTGTATTCTTTCCTCTCATATGTTATTATGTCTGTCCTTTTTCTTCTCAGATTCTACATATCTTTTTGTTACTTTCTTCCCTATATCTGTTGCCCCTCCATTCGTTGCAGCATGTAAATCTTGCTATAGCGGTTTTAGTTTTATGCCCTTTCCTTTGTGTCCAGGGTCTACCCAGATTGTCTAATATAATTTGCTCTTTCTGCTGTCATTCAATTTTTGTATTCCATTCGTACTCCTTTTGTATTTCTTTGCCGAGGTTGATCCTCGACTTTATTTTGTTCCTCCATCCTCTTACTTTCTTTCCCCTATACTACTTGTTAATCCACTCATCTATTCTGCTCTTTCCCTTGTCTTCCCTTTGCCAGTGGTTTGTTCCACCTCCTTTATGATACGATCTTTTCATTGGCACTGAAACTATCACACCAGTCAAAATGACTGGTTTTACAATTTTATAAATGTGCCAACCTTCATTTATGGATCATGGTCCCAGATGGATTAATAATCCTAAAAATGTACTACATAACATGGAATTCCTTTTGTAAGAAAGTAATAAATCAATCAATATAAAGATATTCTATTATTACGAATTCTTTAAAGATCAATCATTTTGACTGGTTATGGTAGAAATAGCTTCGTCTTAACTGTAGGTAGTTTAGTGCTAATTTATCTCAAATCTATTTCCTCCTATTCTCTTCTATTTACCTCACTTCTGTATTTTTTCAGTATCACGTTCTCTGTTTCTTTTTTTATTCTGTCTTGATACTTTAGTACTCTGCTTCCTGCTTCTATACTTATTTCTTCTATTTCTGTTTCTCCTCACATCAAATATCCAGCTGTCTACCCTATCTATGCCGTACTAACCTACATAATATAGCGAAATCATAATCATAACTTGCGTCTATTTTAAACACTAAATTACTCAGTTTGTTGTATACTGGAGGCTACTACTTTTGCCCTTTGCCCCATACATGTATTTGCTGTTCGCTATCTAAATACAACAGTTTGCATTAACAAACAGTTAATGTATAATTTACGAACTGAAAGAATCTACAAAGGAGGCAAAGTTTATAACCGTCAGTTCCTTTAATTACATATTAGCTTTCGAAAAATGTGTTCGAACAATAAAATTATAATTACAGTTATTCTCTCCTCTTTTGATATCGATGAAAATAACGAGAGAAAACAAATACATTTTTATTGACCTTTCTGTTTTGTTTGTCGGTTTATGACTGAAAAGAACATTTTCATATAGAATAATTAAAACAGCCGAAGGTATAATTGTTGAAACAAATAATACTTGATAATACTTGATAAATAAAGGTATAATTGAATATCGTTCGACGTTTTGATATTGTGACAAGCAATATTTTTTTAACGATGAGCAGACTGACATAAGATTAAAAACTCAATCGTGAGAAGAACATAAGATTAATCGATAACGCATACTGCTAACACAAAAACTGCTGCTTTCTAAAAAAAAAAAGGAAAGGAAAAAGAAAGACATCTTGGAAGGGCAAATATCTTAAATTCAACACGTGAATACGAACATGCTGTTAGAAGAAACGACTTTGGACGACTGACAATAGCAAGTGAAAATTACGTGCATAAGACGAAGGACGACTGTATTGCTGATTACAAAATTACAGTTAAATCCTCTATAATCACAATTAAATTACGGCCACATAACTAAATATGTACGTACCACCAATCGCACTCAACGATCGTATCTCTGTGGGGTGTCTCGCAATCGATAACTCTGTTACAAAGTGATATCTCCGCTGTCATCGAATGATGAACACGTTAATTGCTGGACCGAAGAAACATGTATTAGAAATATTTAAGAAATTATTTATCCAAATACAAAATAGATAATGAAACAAAGGTTATTCATTTCGTTTAATAGAGATCGAATAATGAAATAATCTAGAGAAAAACTATTTCACGTTCAAGTAAACTGAGATAATGTTCAAGATAGTAATGCATTATTGGAATTCTTAAAAGAATTAAGCGATCTACATATTTTTTTCCTTATATCTGTTTTTTTACCTATTACTGCCCACAAATGGCTGAAAAATCATGCGTCGCATTTAAATGGAACACCGTGTACATGCGGTGATGTAATTTGGCGCCAGAATAGCTAGCAGAAACGGCGAACATTCGATTACCATTGACCGTGCGTACTATGAGTGGGTGGGTCGTCGAGTTCGATGCGTTTCAACGGTCACAACCAAGGGAATGAACTCGTGTATCCTTGGACTCGGTCCAATTTTATTTTCAAGGTTACATTGCAGCCATTTCTTACCTGAGATCATTGATCCAATTGAAGCGAATCGAGCTATACACGCATATGCAACGAACATATACAGACATATGCAACGAACACGCGAATAACAAATATTTAATAAATCGCTTTTTTTGTTTGTAAAAATTAAGTCGATTAGCTAAGATATTTCTCATTTTTTGTCACGTAGATTAACACTTAATACGTGACTTACTTTTATATATATATTGAATTCAATTACAGAGGCTACAAAATGTATCGGCACATAACCTTAATTTTGTAGCGTTCTTTTTATCGGGTTTTACATTTCATCTACATGGTATCAAATTCTCGTACGACACGAAATTTCGTATACTTTGACTTGATCAATTAGTATTTAGCAATATGCCAATACCTTTTTGTAGTCACTGTAGTAAGGAAATAATAGCTAGAAGCAATACTTATCATTTTCTTATAGAGTCAATGAATAATACATTTTAATTATTCGTTTAAAGATTGATTAACAGTGTATTTTTAAGTTCGAAACGCTTTTCATCGATGTATAGTTCTAAATATACTTAGGTTAAAAATATGTTTGAATTAATTACGGTATAAGTTTAGAAAAATCTTCCTTGTCCGATCAATAAGATAAGTCTTACCTAATCAGTTGCATTCTCGTAGATACCAATATTTCTGCATTGCGTATCTATTATTTACCCAAATGGATATTTTATAATAATAATAATAATAATATATAATAATAAAATAATAATATGGATAGCAATAATAAAATGATGATATAGATAGACTGAAGTCATTATTTGTCAATGCATAATTTTTGTATACTAAATTGCATTTTGCCAAAAATAGGCAAATATCCGATTTATGTGTTTTCCGGAAATAATCGTTTACTCAAAATAATATTTTTCAGAGAAGTACAGTGTTTACGCGAGTATCTCCTTTGCTGTGCTATTGTTGGGTGTAGGAGTTCCACTTTGGTGGCACACTACTGCAGTTCCGCGTGTATCGCTTCCTTACGCTGGAATCGAAGCACTCTCCGACCTAGACATCAATATTAAAACGAAAATTGTCGTCGTAGCTCTGTCTCGAGATCGAGCTGAATCCTTGGTGCACCACATAACGGACGCTTTTAAAAATTCCAGTGAGCAAATGAAAATTACATCCTCCTTTTTCTCTACATATTTTTTTCATACACGGTAACATGTAGATATAATACATTTGAAGAACTAATTCAGCATCCAGAAACAATGTACATCGTACAAACGCATGTCCTATTTGGTCTTGTTTACCAGACACAGCGAGCTTTTTACAGCGAAATTTTTATATAATATATTTCTATAACAAACAATTTTAATCCCTCTTCTTTTTCCTCATTGAACTTCAATAAGTTATGGATTAAATATAATATCGATGATAGAAATTTTACACTAAAGTATGAAATATCAGGCGTCAATAAAGTATTATTAAATATCAAGTATAAAATATTTTCGCGATCCTTTTAATTAATCCGTTAGATTTTTATTTGCGAGAATACTCGAAATCATTTGTTGTTGAAATGTTTGCGCAAAATTTCTTGAAAATGTTATATGTGCTTCGGTACAAAATTGAACAAGGACTTGAGCAAATTTGAAGAATGTTAGACATATTTCGTTTATAATTTAATAGAATTTAATGAGAAAGAGATTAAATTTTTTTATTATAAATGCATATATTATATAAACATTTTTTGCTAGGAAAAGCTCATTATATCCAGTGAACAAAGTCAAGTAGAACATATGTTGATATAAACCTTTTACATTTTTTGTAGATACCGTATCGAGTGCTGAAATATAGTCCATATGTTATAGGACACCTTACACACACACACACACATATGTATATAGAAGCTTTATGTGTTACAGGTATCTGTCGGATAGAAGTTATTTACCATGTGATATCCAGTAATCTAGTAACTTCTGCGTTTACGCATCATGAACTAGAGAAAATAGCATCGGCTTTCGACCTGGACGTCGGACAACTTCTACTTTTGGAAACAAACAACTTAAACGATGCAGTTCTCGTCGGCTCGAAAAGAACCATTTACTTTTCTACAGAAACCAGTAAGCAGCAATCTTACGATCAAGATCGACAATCGCTGAAAATTTCACCGTCCTCTTGCAACTGTTCATTTTCGTTTCAGCTGCCTCCACTTTGATTCAAGTATTATCGGAATGGGTGTTGCTTGAAAAGTCACTGACTTTAACGAGAAATGCACTCACCGAACCAACTCTTTACAGCCTAGATGAGGAAAACAGGAGAAGGTTCCCGGCTAGCCCGGCTTACGATGTACTCATCACTGTGGTCAATCCAGATCCAGAAAAAATGAAAGTTGCTTGGGATCTCCGCGTGATGGCCGAGGGTGGGTAAGAAAGAAAATCTCATTTTTCTAATAGCTCTGCCTTTACCGTCATATCCACAATGAACAGCATAATTACAGGTTTCATAACTGAATCATTTTTTATTACCATTAACATTGCCATAAGGTTAGTCGATTGCATCGAATGGATCGTATAACGAGTTAGTATACACTAAGTAAAACTTCATTTCTTGAAACGTTGACTCCTGACAAATTCAGATAAATGGAGTTCCACTGTACGTATAAAATGATTATGTTTCAACATTAATGTGATCCTAAGCAGTAAGAAGTATATAAAATTATCACAGAACACGAAAATTTTCCGAGCTGAAATGATTCGCACAGAGTTCCGATCCAGAACCCATTGAGAATCGATGCGAAAATTTTAAAGATGAAAAAGACAAAGAAAAAATTGTAAATCTTCATCTATATCGATTCTTGAATTGCTGAAGAGAATCGCAGAACAATGGAATAGAATTCATCTTGAGTATAGCCAAAATCTTGTACAAACTATGCCAAAACGCATTAAAATCACCCTAAAAGCTAAATAATACCTCATAGAATAAATGCTACTCAACTAGGTTAGAACTGGCAAATTTTATCGTGAAAAATATTGCGCGAAACTGAATGAATCAATTGTTACAAATTGCTTATGTTATTAGCTCTAATTGACCAAAATGTGTTTATTTCATGTATACCTTGACATTAATGATAATAGAAAAGGTTTCATACAAAATCTGTGATATTAGTACAGTTATGTGTATCTTCATTGAATATCTACATATATTTTTTGCTTATAGAATACGTCGAACCATTTCTCTCTGAGCTTTCGATTCTGAGTAACTTCTCTGTCAAATCACAGTGGTTGTATTTACTGCCATTGGATGTCAGCCCGAAACGAGTGCCTGATAGTGGCCCATTAGGTAGACATTTTGCATTATCAGAGGACGTTTTACCTCAATTAATTACACCATTGGAGAAAAAACTAGGTATGTTATTCGTATTTTCACCCCCTTACGAAGAACGAAATAAAATCTGTAACTCTAACATTATCACTATTTATTTTAGCCTCACAGGTTAGTCTCCATCCAACTATCAATTTCGTTATTTATGCTGTTCCTTGTGACAGCGCTCCGTTACATATTTACACGCGTTCTGGACATCGATCGAAAATTAACGCTAACGTCGAAGCGTTTCTTTCTCCAAGGTAATGCTCCTAATTTCGAGTCATCTCCAGTTAAGATATATTTACGTTGTCTTTTCTATTTCTTGGTATAGATGGGGTGGTGTAGTTTTGATCAATCCACCCGTTGAAGCTTGCATGGCTGCGAAACTCGATCAACCTGTTACCATTGTGCCTGAACAGACTACCATTGTTGGAACCTTTCTTACCCAATTGAAACTTCTTTTAGGCATTCCTGAACCGGTAATCAAATCATTATCTTTCTTATTCGTTTACTCTAGCTCTACGTGTTTCTTTTATTTTCCATTCTACTATCCACTCATTGATATGATGAAAAGTGTCTCCACGATGCATCTATTTTTTTCCAGAAATTCTTAAATGGTGTTACCGCTGTTTCTTTGCCAGGATTGAAACTGCGTGATTGGGAAATCGATGCATTGCTGCGTATACGCACGATCGAGCAATTAACATCGGCAAAATTGACTCTGCAATCGATTGCACAACTTCTTCAAGAAATTGGTAACATTGTGATTACAGATATTGTAGGAAACAGAATTAAAACAGCCTTACGTTTGGTGGAAGATTCGGCTCAACGATTAACGCGTGGCGATCTAGCTGTAGGTTTTCTGCTGAGTAAGGAAGCATTTGTTACTGCGGAAGCAGCATTCTCCGATCCAACGCTCTTTGCTTTGTTATATTTTCCCGAAGATCAAAAGTAAGACATATTTGCTATCATTCATCCTTATCTATACCAAGTCTTTCTCATCTTATTGTACTTTCTTTGATTTCAGATACGCTGTATACACACCTCTCTTCTTACCAGCCATGGTACCAGTCTTGCTTTCCTTAAAAAATATTTATCGCTATTATTTCCGTCGAAGAGTCAATAATCCATTGAAGGAAACTGCACCAGGCCAAAATAAATGAGAGCAGCAAGTGTTTTACGATAACGTCTTGAACCATTTGCCAAGTTTTTACTTCATATTGTTTTTTTCTTTGTCATTTTCATTGTATCCTACTGTCGAGTCATTTCTATACATCATGCTGTTTTATCTAGATAAAAAGTCGATGAAACAAACGTCGCAAATAAAAACAATATTTTTTTATTGTACAAAGAAAATGTTCATCAAGTTATAAAAACAGCATAAAGTGTGGGATGAGTCAGTGTGTGAATGAAAAAGATAGGGAGAGGACTGAGTGAGTGAAAAATTAGGAAAGACAGGCAAAGACGAAAAGTGAGGAGGGACGGGAAGCGGCAGAGAATGCGCTGAACTGTTTAAATTATTTCAACCAATATCGAATGAGTTTAAGATATTTTACATACAGTTAAATTTCACTTTTGTTTGTCCTGCTTATTTCTCGTACATAGATAGAATTCTAGAATTACAACTTCCTCGTAATTTCTGTTATCCACGGACGAAATACGGATCCGCGTTATGCGTCACAGCATACAATATAGTATAAAGTAGCGCTAGATAAAGGTTTCTGTTTGTACACAGGTACGCGTCTTTTGTCCACATTTACGCACACAAATTTAATACTATCAAACGTCTCCCACGCATGCTCATACATCCGTTTTAACAAATTTCAAATTAATTATCATTAGATCGTTAGAAACAGCTAATAATCTATGTACAATACACGTATATCAATCCTCAACCAGTTATCAAATGGTTACAAAATTATTGAGTTGAATCACTATAAAATGTATGTTCAACTACCGCGAGAAAATTTCAAATTCAAGTTAGTTTAATGTAGCTGACTCGATACGAGCAACTTCATGAAAATGAAATCCGTTGCGTGTTCGAAATGTAAATATTTCCCAATTTTAACAAATCGAGATAACGCTATTATCTTTTTCGCTAATATACTGTCAAGATTTATCGTAAATCTCACAGTTACTGTTGATTGGATGGATTCTTTACTTAATCAGGACAAGCTCAAATTTGTTTTTGTTTGTTCGATTAGTAGTTGAACATTATCGCTAATAATAAAAATAAATTAATTGGTGAATTGAAAAGTTTACTTGTATGAAAAAAAAAGAAAAAGAAAAAGATAAAAATATAAACAGGAAAAAGAAGAAGAGTAGGGGCGGGAGAGGGACGGAAGGGGTTGAGGAAAATTAAAAGAAAAAAAGGGAGGAGTAAAAAGGAGGGATGTAAAAAAAAAGAAGAAAATTAACAGAGATGCTGAACTAGCTGTATCGCATGTTGCAAAGCATCTGCGATATTCTGAAAAACAGGTACACCTTCGCGCGTCGCGTAGTCCGACAGGTACATTCTTCCCCGATTGTAGTCTTTTATGGCTTGTTCAGTTAGCTGAAAGAAAATGTTACCTTCTATATAAATATATGTAAAATTTGGTTCAATGGAAAAACAGGAGATTATAAGATAAGTATAATGGAAAGACGAAGAGATGAGAAAAGGAAAAAAGAAATACAGAAGAAAGAATATAGCGGCTATAGGAACAAAATGAGACGTATATTTATACTTGTGTATAATAATATCTATAGAAGTGTATATTATTTATAGAAGACATACACAAAAACGCTTACCTTTTCACCAGAAACTACGCAGTCTTCGGGAAGCGCTTGAACGCATAGGACTAATTTTGCGCGTAATCCAATCAGGTGAGCTGCCAATGCCATTATAGTGACACCACGCGAATGTTGCGGTACGATCAATAATATTAACCGTGAATTTTTCATCCTCTGCAATTCTTGTGGCAACACCTTTACGTTGTACTCGTTCAGGCTTGATCGATAGAAGGATAATCCAATAGATCTAAAACGAGAAACAATTTACGTGTAAACTTACAACGACATTGTCGTAGTGGAGAGAATCGAAAGAACGTTACATCTCGAATGCTCACTCGATCGAGGGTATGGCGGTCGTTTCTAACCAAAACTGATCTTTACCGATTACTCCAACGTACAAGTCTCTCTTCTCGGATTCTGGCACGAAGAAATTGGTCCAATCTAAAAAGTTGAACGGTCGAACGAATCGTACACTCGACTGCTCGGACGTTTTCGTGAACAATTAATCGAGGCACGAACGTCTCGTAACGACCTGTTTGCTAGTTGATACACGCTAACGATACACACGCTACTACAGGTCGTGGCAAATTTTTGAGAATAAGAAATACCTAGGAAACGGTTAAAAGGTTGCACGATAGCTCTGCGAAGAAATTTCGACGCCTTCCTACATAAAATACTCCAAACTGAAGGTATCTCACTTTCACAAGAGACGCCGTTGCTCTTCGTCCTCCACGCTGATTCGGTAGCTAAGGCACAAAATTGTTCGAAGTTTATCCGTAATTCCGTTGGATCCCTCTTCGCTGGAAATCCATCGTCTATCAACGTCCTATACGCTTCTGAAAGCACATATAAACGCAGACAGTAGAGAAAATATAGTTGAGCTATAATCGAACGCCTACACACTGTTATTACCATATATGGCATTGTCAACGCGTTAGATGTACACGTGCGATTTTCATTATGCGAAAAGTATAATATTTATTACCCGACTTGTTCACGACACTAAGAAGCTCTGACATCGATGGTACGTTGCACTTGACACTCGATTGTAATGCTATCCAAGCCTATAAAATCAAGAGTGCAAAGCAAATGTAACAAGAATATGTTATAATTTGTTTTTCACAAGCAATATGTGTTTTTCTACAAACATGTGGCAAATAGACGCTAGTGAAACTTACTTCTTCCAAGTTGACGGCCCCATTATCGTTCATATCCATAGACTTGAAAATCTCCCTGAGCATACTGCAAGAGAGTAGGTTAAAATCGTATATTCGACACAATCACACTTACATAAATATGTATGTACAGTTTCAGCGAAAAATCCTTACACCAGATCCATTCCATTTTGACCGAATGATATTTTAATCGGCCTAATACCATCATCGGCATGCAGATCTTCCACGTTAATTTCCTCACGTAGCATCTATGGAGAAACGTAGATCAGTAGCTTTTTAGTATAAACAATTAAATTTATTTCGCTCAATGTAATTTACAAAATATGTACCACAACAATCATCTATTGTTATGTATTTTATTCACTGATTTATCTATTTATACCTTGGATGTACAATTCAGAGCAACAGATACACTTTCAAATATTGGTATCCTCTGTCTCTCCATCAGATACTGAAGTACTAGCAATCCATTCATCAGGTCACAATATTCTCTAAATAAGAATTAACATTTATGATACAAATACTAAAAATGAGAGTAATCTATATCAACAAAAAATAGAGAAAGTGAAAACAAGGCACTTACTGTAGAGATACAGTTTCGCCAAGTATCGTTTGACCCTGACGATACGGATAAATAACAAGAATTAAAGACTCGCGGCGCGTAGCTGCCAACTGAGCTGCTTCAATGATGCCTGCGCTATTGCGTGTTTGATTATCAATTACGAAGAGTAATACTTTCGCTGTTTGTTTCGCTTCGTATTCTTGAGCTATTAATTCCGGTCCCCACTGCGACACTTGCTGAAATATTTATTTATTTTTACAATTGTACCAACGACTAATCAATAGGTAGATCAGGCTAGAATGAATACAAATGGTCACGTACGGGATTGTAGTAAGTGATCCCGAGTCTCTGTAGAGTCGGTATCGCTATTTCTGACCTCCATGTGGTTGGATTACAGGATCCACCCAGAAATACCTCATATGCCATTCTATCTGTAGAAATAAACGCTATAAACATGCGATGCGTGTCAATACACGCAAAATTCTATATATCTGAAATCTATGTATGATATACTCACTTGAAGCGCTTTTGTTGTTAGTATCTTTTCCATCACAGTGCAACAGACGAATGGTACTCATAGAAGCGGCTGTTCTGGAATAAAATATATACGAATTAACCATAATTTGATGAAACAAACTATTTATAACTTGAAACAGTATTATCACACTCGAATTAGAAAAATGTCAATCTTTATCTGGTTTGCAAGAGGATTCGATATATATACATTCAATATTTTTTTCTTAATTTTATTTTCAATTGATTGTAAAATAGTATGGATAAAAGTTGAATCAATATCGGTTGGAGTGTGGTAATGCTAGAATCATCTTATTACCAATTAACTTAATGTATGTAAATCTGTAGTAGTAAACATACTTCCAAATATCAAATCCTTTTGCAACAAGGAAAAGCATGCTACGCTGCATCGTTGAAAAACTATTTCTGCTTTGATTAATGACGCAACCAATTGTTCGATACTTTAAGCCTGCAACATACACATTTCCCTTTTGTCGAATTGTTGAAGAAAAGTAGCAATAGTTGAAAGGAGATCAATATTTGCATTACCTTTCTCTGCACAAATGTGCCAATTCAGTGACAAAAATATAATTTTCTTGGAGCATTATATAAGCAGGAGGACCAATAATCAAATAATTTTTAGTAAGTCGCCACTCTTTGTGTATATGCACCCAGTATGCAAGTGACAACATTACGTATGTTTCTTTTCCCTGAAACAAAATCACTCATAGATTGAAGATATTTATTAGCTCAAGATGGATAAGGAATGTGTTTGTAATAATCTATATTCTGCAAAAATTGTACTTACATAGACTTTGTCGATATCCGTTGACATAAACTTGAACAGATATATAGGAAGACTTCATTGTTCAAACTGATGTGTGATTAGGCAAGAGATTAATGCCCATTCAATATATTTATCTCTTAATCATCCAACAGAGGAGAATTTTGAATTTTCCTATTTGGGAAGAAAATGATATCATCATTATTATTATCATTCGCCTTATTTCTTTATTTTATTCAATACATTCTATGCGTATAATTACAGAAATTACACAGTAAACATGAAGATCATTCGAATTTATTTTAAATTTTCATTTTTTAAGTAGAAATGTAAGAATATAGAAAGAAAATTGTGGTTATCGTGTACGCAAGATATATATTCGGAATGGTTGAGATGTAGCGTTACTACTAACAGACATACACATGAAAGTGTACTATTTAATTACCTACTGCAGCTACTCACTGCTACCCATTGAGAACTAGCGTAAGTTCGCAAGGCGATGGAGAGCCTGTCAGGCACACTAACCTTGACGATAGTTCGGTGCTGCATGCCCACGCACGAAAAACATATGTGGTAAACTTCAAAGGGAAACGCATTGATTCCGACTGCATTTCACGTGCATTCGTTGACGAGTCTCAACGACGAATAAAAAAAAACACGCGGCAATGAAATTCAGATTCTTTGGAAAAATGAACGATGAGAGATCTCTGATTGTGCACTCCCGCTATTGCTCATACTTATTTATACACCGTTATATTTAAAATGTAAGAACGCGTCGTCGTCAAAGAGGCACTGACTGCTTGGATGTATCACAAATAAATTACATGCTCGTGAACATTCTTTTCGATATTATCGGTGACACCGCACGCGATATTATTGCCGCGCGAAAAAGTACTCTACAGTTCGAAAACTCACTAGACTCGATTCATATCGAGCTCCCTCGAAATCAGTAACCGTCGATGAAATCACAAATCAGCGCTACTACTGTTAAACGTCGCGCTTCGTATCCTTCTCCTTTTCTATCTTGCGAGCCTTCTCTCTTTTTTTCTTTCACCCTCTCCTCTCTATCCTTCTTAGTTACCCTCACTCCTCGGTTCGCATTGACACGGTATCCTTTCTCCTTTTCTTACTTATATCCAATTAATTCGCTATTAGTTTCGGTTTAAAGGGAAAACTCGCACTACCGGACGAACAATAATTTCGTTTTGACGAAAAACGACACGTCCAACATGTTTCGCGCAGTCGCGACGGTAATTCGCCTGTTTTTCGCCTCTTTCGTCTCTATCACTTCCCGCCACTAGTCTGTACGCGTGTCTACACTACTGTAGATCGCGCGCACCGACTTAAGACCAGTCTTGAGAATGACGTAAACCTCCAACAATGAAGAGTGATGTCACACACATCGAACTTCGTAGAGGTTTGCTCTCACCGTCGCCATCGTCATCGCCATCACCATCCACCCAGGGACTTTCGATTCACCGATTATCTTATTCCGCCTTTAACTCACAATATTTCAATTTTTCCAACCGTCATTACAAATCTGCTCTCTATATAAATCCTTCCTTTTCTCACATTCTATTTCTATGTAACGATCGAATAATAACGAAAAGCAAGCTTTTCTCAGTGGTTTGTCATCTGCCGTAAGATTAAGGGAATCATTAGGAAATTACTGACGTCATTGATTTATGCTACACATGTTGAACAAACATTTCATTTTCGTTAGATACGTGTATTTGATCTTCCGTTTTTTCCGACAGAGATGACATCTTTACCGTAAACACGATATAAGTGTGTCTTTATCTTCCTTTTAACTTTAACGCTACTCGACGCTGTTTATAGATAGTTCATCCAGAACACTTATTCATACCACCTTAATATCGAGGACAAGAACTGATATTCTTTGCTACTGTGTACGAAAAGAACATTACAGTTAAAAATGATTTAATGGAAATGAAAAAAAGTACTCTCAAATTGTTTTAAACTTAATCATACCTATTTTTACGAAACTAAGATCATTGTCTATTTGAATCTGTAAATTGAACATACATAATGCAAAAAAGTAGTTCAATATAATATATAGTAATTATGAATTGTGCGTAAAATGTAAAATTCTAAATTTTTCAAATATAATTCTTCAATACATAAAATATATATGTGTAAAGAAAAGAAAAAAATTGGATACATAAAGTATATAGATTAGAATCACTAACAGGTGGTATTGTTATAGCATAGTTGAATTAGTATTTTGTCTTTGTCCTGTGTTTATCTCGAATTATCATATAAAGACATATAATAAAAGACGATGATAGGTAACTCAGCAAAGTAGCAAATTATGGAAATTATATCATACAAAAAGAACATTTTGAATGTTGAATCTTTTTATTTTGGTTTCGAAAGTAAAAGCATGGAGAAAAATTATTCATATTAAGCTTCGTGTGTACACATGAGGATACTACCTTAGATATTAGTAACTAGTATTACTTTAGTTTCCACTCTCTATAAAGCCACATGAATCGTGATAAACATCATTCAACCGATTGTAAATGTTTGGATGGTGTGACAACCTATTATATATCTATTATATACTTGCCGAACATTTACTGGTGTAGCGTGATAAGTAGAAAGCGATAGAATGATCTAGATTCGACATAAAGATGCTTGGTATAATTGTATCTGGTCGACTCGTAAGTATCAATGCTTTGCTATGCAAGTACCAACATTGTATTTCATTTTCGATGCTAAATTATCAATTAAATGTAAATGTATCGTTTGTCACAAACGTATCAGTGTTTCTACGTAACATACTTCTCTTTTCCTAATTTTCGCTAATGTCCTATGCTTGCGTCGTTTTGTTTCGTATCTTGTTTCTGTTACCTCTCAATAATGCTCACATTTCACCCCACCCCGTCGCCAACTTGTCACGAGCATCGTTGCATTTAATCGAATATATAAATATCATGTAGACGAATCTAGATTTTTTCAAGTTTCAAATAGTAAACCACAATTTCCAAACATATACAAACGATATGTAATTGTAAATGTAACATCTTTCGTAGGTCCAAACGGATTTTCAACAGATAGGAGAGAACCAGTTTTTAATAACAGTACCTGATGCAGATAATATAAACCATATTGTGGTTTTTCTCACTGGTGCTATACCGTTACCTGATGGTACAGGTGGTGCAGGTATGTGCTACAATAACAATTAAACAAATTCAGCTGCATATTCTTATTGACCCTTGGTCTTTACAGTGTATTTCAGTTGGCCAGATCCAACTGCTCCGCCTAATTGGCAGTTTCTCGGGTATATTTCAAACGTCAAGCCATCTGCCATATTCAAGATATCCACTCTGAAGAAGAATCATGAATTCGAAAATAGTAATTTAGGAATTTTTGGAGTAGGAAAGATTTCTCATGTAGCACAAATAGGGGTTTCGGTGGAACCCATTGGAGCGATAGAACAACAAGCAGCTACAGTAACACAAGCCACGTCAAACTCCTTTTTAGAATTTGTTCAGAAGATGCTTACAAGTTTTTTGAATTATGTTTCGAGTTTTTCTGTGACACAAGCACAAATGACACCAAACCCAACAGAAAACTTTGTACCGCTATCTGCTATTCAAGGGTGGTACGAAACTTTTGAGAGGAGGTTACAACAAAATCCAAACTTCTGGAAAGCATGATGAGAAAGTGACTGACTCTCAATAGTTCGTTTCCATTTTGTATAGTGATGCGTCATTTCTCAGCACTCGTGCTTGTGTTCGCAAAGTATGATATAATACTGAACCACGATGCGTTATACGCATGAATTCAAATTTTTTATATTTTCACTGAAGAACAATATGATGATAATAACAAGAATAATTATGACGCTGCCACGTACCTTATCCGAAAACGCAAAATTTGTTATCTATAAGTGTTTAGCATAAATTCATTGTGTTTTTATTATTTTTATTTTTACTATCAAGTATGTGCTCTCTAATATGGTTATGGAAGAGCAGATTGCTATTGTATTACATTTATTTCGATCGTTCTGCATTTTATAAACATCGTATTAGCAAAACGTAAACATGTAAATACTTTTAATTTCTAATAATATGATAAGAAACAGAAGAAAAGAATCCTCGAATCTAATCTATGATGAAAGCGATATAGGGGAATAACGCATGCGTCAACTTCCATTTTGTTCATGAAGTTTAGGGTTATCCATGAATGATTCTAAAGCTAGATTATTATGTTACGTGAGAAAAGCAACGAATGATTATCAACAATTTCGCACCATGATGCTTTTTCTACTCTTCATTCATTTAAAATTGAGGTTTATCAATATACATTTAAATAATAAAATTCTTTTGAATATATCAATAAGTTATCTGAAGTTATAAGTTATCTGAATAACATTTAAATTATCAACGAGTTTCGAATTTATTCTTTCCTAATATTGATATTACCAATATGTTATTGATCTTGAAAAGTGGAAAATATTTTCTCACGCCGTTTCGACCAATGATGTAACGGCTTTGAAAAAACACAGCTTCGTTGAAAATGGACACTAAGAAGCGTATCGAACAATGGAAAAACGGCTTGATTTGTATATGGACTAATCTGTCAATGTAACTTTCACATTGAGTAGAACGAGTATTTTTCAGAAAGGATAATCTAAAATCGAATCCTTCGTAACATTACAAGTTTAATTTAATTAAGAAATAAAAAAAGAAAAAAAAAAGAGAAAGAAGAAAAGGAAAAAAGGGAAGAGAAGCAAACAATCCAATTAATGGAGATCGCTCCCTGTGATGCTGGCCATTCCCCTGAATTGCCGTAACGAAAAGTGATCGCGTTTGGATTGAGCTGGCATAAATCTAGCGGAATCGTTTATACCGTAAGCTATCTACGTACCTGCTAAAAACAAATCTGAAATACTTAGATACTTCCAAGTTTGACGTCGAAATCGTTATATTTTTTCCTACACGGGGAAATGTTCTTTTTCTATCTCTTTCTCTTTCTCGCTCTCTCTTAATTGAGTAATGTCCACATTGTACTTCTTGTGTAAACGACTGTTCATGGATTTTGTATGAAGTATCAGAACGGTTGGATATCGTCCATCGCGGAGAAACTTCGCAATTCAAGGTGAGACATCGTTGTTGTTGTAAACTTTTCGTCACCTTTCGTTTATTACGGCTCTCTAGAAAAAACAACATGAACAATTTTCGACCGTTTTAGTTGAAATTGTTTCTCTTATCCTTCAACGTTTTCTTAGCACCTTCTTATAGATACAAATTTATTTAGTTTGGTAATTGTATGCAATTAAATCGGTTGTATAGTGTTATCAACCTTCGACAGTTGACGAATATGCATATGTCGATTTAAACGATTTTACTGTCTCGATAGATTTTTTATATTTATCATATAAATTTCTTGATATCTAGGTAAATACAAATTAACATTTTCATCTCCTGAAGATGGAACACTTTTTTTGTAATTTGTATATATTTGTTCGAAGATATTTTTATCAAGATATTTCTGCATATGGTAATGTCTCAAAATTACACAAATCGATAAGCGATAATAAACGAAAATCCTATCGCTTATGTTACGTCGATGTTTCATTTATAGATGCATCGCGTTATTTCAAATAAGTTTAACGAATTTTCTGTTTATCCATAGCTTAAACGATCATATACTTCTCAATCGTTATAATGATACTGCGACTGTTTATAAATTTTCGATAACATATATTTGTGATTACTTGAACGTATTGAAACAAATAGGCCAAACGCATATTTTAATATATGCTAGTAAATAACTAGAACTAGTATATATCTGTGACAAATTGGAGTAATTCAATTCCACATTATGTCTATAAACTATGTGAGAAAGATATAGCCCGCAATTAGAACTTTTCATGTTCAAGAAGGAGACTGAAGTTTGTATATGATGTGTCACATAGAGAGGAGATGGAGAGTTCTGAAGAGCCAACAAGTTTGCAATCCATCTGTCATTTACATGCTTCGGAATTATTTCCAAAGCATACGCATTTCGAATGCGAGGATCAAACACTTACAGTTCCATTTACACCTTTGAGCGGGGAATCCATTGTAGCACTTGGACGTACGTCGGATGGAGTGTTGGCTCTTTCTAATTATAGACTCTATTTACAATTAAGTCAAGCATGTTACAATATTCCACTGGGTTTAATAGAACAGCTAGAAGTTAAAGAGATTTTTTTCCTGCATATTGGTTGCAAGGATGCTCGTTCACTGAGGTATGAAATTTTTGTACTTTGTTGAAACTTATAGCATTCTTATCATTTTGATATTGAAAACAACTTAATGATTTCAGTTGTGTCTTTGCTACGAACGAACATTGTTTGGAATGGTTTAAACGATTACATAAGGTGACTTACCCACGAAAGAGTATAGAAGATATATTTGCTTTTGCATATTATGCTTGGTCTATCGAGGAAGGTAAAGATAATACCAAATTAGGGAAAGATAACATATCGTATAATGCTACCTTTAATTCAGAAGTAAGTAACTTGTAAGTAAATACATGTAGATAAGACACAATTTAAATATAATTTAATTTCTTTACTTTTTTTTCTTAGGTGGAACGACTAAAATTTAATTTGCATGGTACATGGCGCATAAGTCAAATCAATAAAGATTATCGCATATGCCCATCCTATCCACCATTGCTTCTGGTTCCTTCTTGCATTCCTGACGACAGACTTGAGATTGTGGCAAAATTTAGGAGTTTTCGACGAATCCCTGCCGTTGTTTGGAGGTATAAAAAAAAAGAAATAAGAAGGAAAGAAGTATTTATATTGATATATAAAACGAGAAGCATCCCTATTATGCATCTTATTATAGTATGTCACATTCTCGTCTTTCATAATTTCGAAGGCACGTGAATAATGGCGCAGTAATAGCACGAAGCAGTCAGCCAGAAGTTGGATGGCTCGGATGGCGAAGTCCAGATGACGAACATCTTTTAAAGGCCCTCTCAGATGCATGTTCCTATGATAAAGGTGAATCGACGATGATGGATTCATCTATCATCTATCCCGATACTACCGATGATAACGTCACGTCAAATAGAACAAAAGTGAGCATCGAATCAAAAAAGGTCCCAATTATATAAATGTTTGAAACTGGTGATCCTTAATGAATTAGCATATGTTGTTTGCAGAAAGTCTTAATCGTGGATGCTAGATCATATACAACCGCTGTGGCGAATAGAGCTCGTGGTGGTGGATGTGAGTGTCCCGAATATTATCCTAGTTGTGACATACAATTTATGAATTTACCAAATATTCACTCGATACGGAAGAGTTTTCATGCGGTGAGACAACTCTGTGCCTCGGATGCGGATCAACCTAAGTAAATATTCTATTTGTTTTCTTCATTTTTTCATATTGAACCAATATTATTATGCTATTATTACGATTGGAAGATCTAAAACTTTTCTAATCTTCTTTCATAATATACAGTTGGCTCAGTCTTCTGGAAGGGACACGATGGTTACAACATATGTCTGGATTATTACGTGCTGCGGTGACTGTAGCGTCGGCGATAGAAAGAGACGGCCGGCCAGTATTGGTGCATTGTAGCGACGGCTGGGATAGAACACCACAGATAGTCGCTTTAGCGCAGATTCTTCTCGATCCTTATTATCGAACTATGGAGGTATGCCAAAGGTACTTTTCTCGTTTCTTGTTTGTTATTTGCAATTGATAATCATTTCGTTATTCCACTTGATCGTTGCTAGGGATTCCAAGTTTTATGTGAGAGAGAATGGTTAGACTTTGGACACAAATTCGCGGATCGTTGTGGGCAAACTGTTGGCTGCGAAGATCCGAACGAGCGATGCCCAGTATTTTTGCAATGGCTTGACTGTGTACATCAGTTAATTTTACAATTCAAATGCAGTTTTCAAATGTCTCCTGCGTACCTTGTAAGTAGTTAGAAATTCATACGTATCTATTTTGAAAAAATCAAGTAGATTGAGTTGGCCGATTATCGGAAGGCTAATTTACTAAAGCTGGCACACTTTTGATTGATTTTAGGTGAAACTTGCACAGCATACATATTCACAACTTTTTGGCACATTTCTCTGCAACACGAGGCAAGAAAGGTTTCAGTTAAGAATACGGGAGCGTACATTTTCAGTTTGGCGTTTCCTCAATTCCAGCTCTTTCATAAATCATTTGTACTCTCCGTTAAAGAATCAAGTAAGATATTTTTTATCATATATACCAGCCGTAATAAAGTACGTTGTTCCCGCATAAGTTTTATTATATAATAAGCAACATATTGCTTTACATTTCAACCATTTAGTATGTTTAGAATAATTTTTGTATATTTTAGGTATTATGGCCAAGTTGTAACGTACGCGACCTTGTTTTATGGTCAGAAGTATATTTAGGTTCTATGGAATCTCCTCTCGGTATCAGAGACGATAAACAAAGAATAACGATGATAGATATCGAAGGTGGTGAGAACGAAGAACCACAGGGACAAATGACTAAAACTCGCTCATACGGTGATCTTATGCACACTCCCGATCATGCGGCCTATCTTCACCGTCGACTCAGCGATCCAAGCGCCTCAGTAGAGAAGTAATTATTTCAATTTAATCTTTGATAAAACAAGTCCAATGTGAAAATAAGTTTAGTACGTCATTTTGTTTGTGTTATTCGTGAATACTTTGTATTCATGAATCGAAAACCAAAAAAATGTTATATCATTTATTGTATATAATGACAGGAAATTTGACTCGTTAACGCTCGACACAGAAACAAGCGAGAAAGGAAAACACAATTGCACGGAGAATTGTATTATTAGTGACACAATAGAGAAAAATATAACAGAGAATCAGGACAAAGCGAAAAGTTACACAACGACGACGCAAACTTTGAACGACTCGCCAGTAAATCCATCGGTAGACAGTTCAACGGACACACTAATACCGAGTAACGATTCTGTACTCGAGGCGATTGATAAAGAAACGTAAGTACCATTACATATTGTCATACATACTACGGTACAAGGAATTAAATGCAATAAGCTAATTAACTAGATAACGGATAAGTTAACTGTTATACATATTTACTTAATCCCGAGTTTGAGTCCGAAATTCAAAATGTAAAAATAGAGTCGATAATTTGAATTCGGATTGAACGAAACAACACAACTTTCTTTTTTTTTTTCAAGCAGCAAAGTGGAGAAAAATTCGTCACCGGATATCGTATCTCCATGGATCGAGAGCAGCGCGACCAGTCGAATCGGTTGCTCTTGCAGTCGAAATTACAATCACAACCATAACGAGGGTAGTGACGTTAGTGATACCAGCATACCGCAGATATCGAGAACACCTAGTAGCGTTTGTCCAGCTTCTCCAACTTATCAAGATACGGTACCAGATAACCCTGATAGATTGGATGATGTCGATGGTCTTCCCCTTATACATTGTGACGTTCAGATGCGTGTACAACAGATTATCGTGGAACATAAGGTACTAATTTCGATCAATTAGGCATAATAATAAGGAAGAGATGTTTGGAACTGGAAGATTATGATGTTATTTTTCTTTTTTTTCTTTTCTTTCTTTCTTTTTTTTATTATTTTTCAGTTGAAAGAGGAAGCGTTAAGGAAGGAATTACATACGACGAGAATGGCTCTGATCAAGCAAGTTTGTAATCATAATGCAGAGATCGATCGTGTTGATGATATTGTGAGTTGATTACAAATTATTCCATACAAAGTAATCAAAATAAAAGAAAGAAGAAAGATAGAAAAAAAAGAAGAAAGAAAATATCAGAAGTATAATTAAAGGAAGTCGATTGAATATGATTTTTTGTTTCAGGGATCGTTACCAGATTCAGTTGGAAGTACCGGCGACCATGGAGAATCATTACCTTCAGACATGTCTTGGGAAGCAGTGGAAGAATTGGGTCCTGCTCCTATTCTCTGGGTACCCGATCACGCGGTAAGTCGATGCATGGGATGCGATACGGAATTTTGGCTGGGACGACGTAAGCATCATTGCAGGTACGCGGCACACAGGGCAGTGGCATTTATAATGTCGTAATTACTGTTTAGTAATATCTTTGGATAAACTAGTTATATAATACAGTTCAATGTAGAATGAATACAAGAATATAATTTTACAATGAGTTATTTGCTCATCTATCGCAGATGCTGCGGTAAGATCTTCTGTGCGGATTGTTCCGAGAATTCGACACCACTACCCAGCGAACAACTGTATAATCCCGTGAGAGTTTGTAGCGAGTGTTTCTCTCGACTTCATCGGCACACAAGTCCATGTCAGTGTAATGCTCGTCATCAAAACAAAGGAGAAAACGATGCGGAGTTAAATTCTGAGAACTTGATGACTTGTCAAAGATCGAAAGGTTTGAACCTGACGAAAGATAGTTGCTGCGATAATTTGCTGCAGGCTGCGCATCAGAAAGCGCAACCTCCGGTTACAGCAGCCACGGTAAATTGAACACTCTCGCGCGAGCGAGGAACCTCGAGGAAGTAACATTCGCAGCAATCCGGTTACTGTTTGGTTTTCAACAATGCAGAAAGTGTATCCATAATACGATAAGTCAGCTGCGATACACGTTCACACGTTTATCATTTATGTCTGTACAATGTGTGTTACAAACAGACGTATAGGTCGCGCGCGAGCCGATAGCCAACCATCACACAGTTAGATATTTGGAGCGATCCAATATTTATTGCTAGAGTAATTTGTACGAAAAAGAGTGCATAGAGTGTATCGGACAAAGTGAGAGAAAATGAGTCAGTATACGATAGGTTGTATTTGTCTTATACAATCGTATGTATACATAGGCGTATAAGTTGATTCAACGAGGAGATACCTGGCTTCTTCAAACGAGACTATTCAAGTTTCCCGTTTTTAGGCGATCTTATTCCCTTCTCAGAGATACAGCAAGACGAGGCCGAGGAATATTTTGGATAGGCTGTGACTGACGTCTAGTTCTAGACACCGTACGAGGTGCGCTCTTAATTAAACGTCGATCGTTCGATCGATGGAACAACTCGTTATTATTAGTAGTTGGATTATGATACGAGTAACTTGTATTTGTATATTACCGCTGTTTACGAGAATTGGTATATTAAATGTCATTATCGTAATATGCGATTGTCTCTCTATCACTCTTCCTCTCTTGCTCAGTATTGTACCAGGATAACGAGATACGTTGTTATAACTCCCGCGATCTAAATCATATGTGCGTAGATGCACACAATCAATATAAATATAATAATATATGTTTTACGTATTGCTTAAATGCATTTGCTTTTCATACGAGTAATCAAGAATTCTTACCGACGTTATTAAGTTTCTGTCCAAGGAAAAGAGTCCGCATGCTGAGAACTCCAAAGGTCGATGCAACAATTGAAGCGAAAATATTTCCAATTCTCGTCGGACGTCTGCTTCAAAACAACAAGAAAGTAACTGACTAACGAGAGTTGCCGTTCTTTTTCCCTGGAACCGAAATAGTTTTAAGCTATCGTTTTTCCCTTCTTCCCTCTCCACTTTGCTTTCTCTCATCTTTTACCTCCGCGACTGTGGAATAGCTAGGTTGAACGATTATCAGCATTCTGCTTATGTGAATGATACACCATCCAGCTTGTACGACTAGAAATATCCATTCGTGTTTTTCATTAGCTTGCACGATCAAGAAATACGGCGTGATGATTAGATGTAATAGACAGGATATAGTGACGGCTAGTAGTACGACACCGAAAGCAGTATTTATGAGGGATACTGTGTCGCAAAGTAAAGAATGAACCATTATCAATTCAGATATACTGTTTACGTAGGTTTTGCTTTCTGTAAATAATCACAATAGGTGAGGTCGAATTAACGTATTCTTCTACCGATCAGTTTTCATTAAATAGTTAGCAAACTTACCATCCATCTTCCGTGACAATCTATAGCTGCCTAATACGAGTTGCCGTTTTGGTGTAATGTTCCATCCTTTCTTGCCTCCAATGTCGTTAGCTGCTTAGGTTAAGCACATACATATATCGTTCCGGTTGTATTGGTCGACAAAATGAAAGATTAAAGATTCAGCATAGGTTATTAGGGGAAAGTACATACAGGAAACTTTGTAAATATTCGTTCAAATATTTACATTTTCGAAAACGAAGGCTCATATGAAAAAACATTATTCTACGTTTCCGACTTATTTTATTTACCTGTTTCGGAAAATTTTCGGAAATAGCCGATCGCATCGTCGTTGTTACTATTATTTGTATTATTTGTATCCAACATACTTTTCAGGCTACTGTTCAAGCGAACTAATCTTTGTCCTATATTATACGTTGCCACGCTATACTGGATTTCTGCAGAAATGATCACGGTGTACATTACGTATAGAGGTGCATAGTTAATAGGACCTTTGTCAGCAAATGTTTGGTTTTTTGCTTTGCGACTCCATGAATAAAAGTCTAAACTCGAATTGAACCAGAGATAGACGAGGCTACATATCGTTAAACAAATCGTGAACCTTCGAGCTTTCTTTGTAGACGATACACCGATTTTTTTATCTACCTGAAATGAAAATGCGAAAACGCTTTACTATCATTTCGACCGTTGATGGAATGGTAAAAAAATTTGTAAAACGACTCTTTAACGACCTCGATTAATTTGTTTATCACAAGTTGCAGGGATTTCCATCGGAAAGGGGAGCCAACGATACAAACGACCGTTAAGCTCATTACTCCAAGCACATCGCTGCATGTCGCGATCACCGCTGTCCGAGATTTCAGTCTGGTACTATGCTCCCAGCCGTCTTTCAGATCTCGCCATAGGCCCCAAATTTCCGCGCCGAGCAGTAGTATCAGTACGCACAAACTACGAAACGCACAACGTGCATTGTTACTTAATTCTATTCAAATATTCCCAGTAGAAACAAACGTTTTCATGTTATCAAAGAATTTCTCAATTTCTACAGAGCACATCAGGAGGGAATCGAATAACTTTATCAGTATATATATTAATGGATTATTCTGAATCAAAAAGGTCCTGTACACTATGATTTTTTGTTATATTCATTTATTTCATTCATCGTTCTTTTTTACCTATAGACGAGGTCTATGATATTTAAACGGGCCTGACATCCTTCAGAAGCGTGCACGTAAAATCTTACTGGAACCACACCACACAATTTACCAAGATAATATATGGGAAACATCGCTCGACGAAGATTGCCATCGTACGAAGCTTTTCGTTTTTTCTCTATACGTTTTAACTCCATCTTCAAATTTTTCGATCGATTTTCTTATTTAGCTGTATTGTATTTGAAGAAAAGATTCGATCTATTTTTATTCCGTTGTCCTTTCCATGCGTAATCGATCAAATGCAGAAACAAGCTTTTGGTCTTCTTCCTCACATTTCAATATCACACATGTTTCAACATCGATTCACTGAAATTATTTTCTATCAACAAAATGAAATAATAAATATTGCTGTTCTATTATACGCATATTTCCGTTTAGCTCCTTGAATATTAGAATTATTAGAAAGGACAAATATCAATCAGAGATAAAAAAAAAAGCAGCACAACACGGCACAGCAGCTACGTTACACTACACCTTTCTCGTGTCAAACAAATGCCAAATGGTTTTAAACATGTTGCGAGCAAAGAAGAAAATAGCACTTTATTACTATTTAATGCGGCACAATCTCTCTATTTCTCAGATTTTTACAATCGTTTAAAGGGGATTATATCAAGTACTAGTCTCGACTGTTCATTCATTCTTGTCAAATTGTTGGCAGGTAGTTATCGTTGATATTTCGATATTGACTTTGCCGAGAAATAACACGTTTCTTCGTTGAGCGCTTAATGGTATTGTTGGGCGCGAGCGTCCGCAACCAACAGATGTTTATAGACATAACATATACATATTTAGTTATTGGACAGTTTGCGCGAGCACACTGAGAAAGAAGGAGAGAGGGAGAAAGAGAGACTTTTTAATTAAAGTTTTAAGTTTGCTATATGTTTTGCGTATATGATCATTTTTATTAAATTTGATCAATCGAAAATTGATAAACATGTATGAACAAACGGGAGGAACAGTCGTTCTTATAGTATGAAGAAGGCATGTGATAAAGGATCATGTAATACGAATAGCCGAAAAGAAAATAAGATCACCTAGAATAAACAAATTCGGTGGAAGTTTCATTTCATCAAAGTACATACATATTCCTTTCTTTACATGAATAAAGGTAGCATGTTGCGCTAAACAAACATTCGTATCATGGTATTGTGACATGATTTAGCATGATATGAAAATCGTGGGAAAGAACATTCGTGCCGATAATATTCAATACTCGGTCTTTCGCCGTATCGTATTTGTCAATCTACTTCTCTATCGTTTAATCATGTCATATTTCTTATCCTTTCACAAATGTCTACATTATTTAGACAAACATGAAATGTATCAAAATTAACCATTTTTAAGTTCTGGAGCTTTGAAAGGACAAATTGGAGTTAATTGGTTATTTCAAATAGAAAGTAGTATACTTATTGTCTATTTATAATATCATATATTTTGTATACGTATATATACGACGACTATGTTGATTTGATTTCATTTTTGCAATTACGCATACGAAATTTTGAATTTACACGTTGATCAATAGCGACAACTAGCGACGTTATCGGTAACTAAATTTTGTTATTACGAATGGTATGGCTACTGATGTTAACCGAATAGTTTCGTTCGAGGTTAAGTGTTGAATTTTTCTTAATCCGATCCTACATGTTTTACTTCGATTTATATTAATTATTTCATTGAGATTTTTATATAACTTGGAGGTGATAAAAGATGGAGCGCAACGAAGAAGATTGGTCGATAGAATGTTCAGACGATGAGAAATACGAAATGGATGGAAAAGTGAGTAAAAGATGGAGGAAGGACTAATAGAATGTTGTTTATCCAGTTCGTTCAGCTCTCTCCCTTTTCCTTTTACCTTCGTGCTCATTTAGAACGAATGGACTTTGAAACCTGACGATATATTAACATTGATCGAGGCCCTCGAAGCCAATAACAGAGCTTTGGAACTCGACTGGAAGTGTCCAGGTAGAAGAGGTCCATCACCTGTTCCTTCAAGCAATCGTCAGCAAGATAATGGCTCGCAGGAGTACAAGTATCTACTATCCCACATTTTAACTTTAAATGTTGAGATTGATGTGCCGTGTCTCACAAAAGTATTTCAACACTTAAGAAGATAATGAAGTTTAGCCATAATATGAGATACGAGATTGTCTCTTGATTATACTAAAAATAATTGACTATTTCAGATCTTTTCACAGTATACATTCATAATTTATAATTTCTATTACATTTTCAGATTGATTACAAATTTTATCAATATAATTATGATACTTGTTTCTCGTTACAGTGCTAATGAAATGTCAAAATGTTTCATATACTGTGCGTAATATATTTGTAAAAAGTTTCTGTACCCGAATACTTTCACGAGTCACTGTTTGTCATATAATTCTAGTACACAGCTTGTCATATCATAGCTTATTTTCGTTCTATTGTATCAATTCCATTTGTATTTTTGTTTAGGACCGAAGAAAAGTCAGACTTTGATTTCATGGATGAGATGTCGTCGCCGAGATTACCGGTTCGTAGAACTGGAGAAAGTACTCCAAAAGGAAGTGCTAAGAAGAAGACTGCAAGTTTTAACGGTGTACTATCAACTATGTTACGACATCGTAGATTAGAACAGCAAGAAATTAATTCGAGTCCAAAAAAGATCGAATCATCCGTATCAAAGATGCAGCCAACGTAATAATCATCCGTATTAAAGACGCAGCCAACATAAACGTTACATTGATGCATTGCGGTATAAATGTTATATATATATATATATTTATAAATTATATTTATAATAAAGTTTATATTAAATTTTGATACACGAATAGTAGTCAAAATCTAATTGGTTTACTAATCGAAATTATATAGATCTGTGATTGTATTTTGGGCGATTATTATTTAATTATATACATATTCACGTATATACTGTGTCATATCTCACACAGAGTGTATTACGTTCAATTATGAATAATATTTTAATTTGGCAATTAGACACAGTTAATCAGTGTACATTTATTTAACAGAGAAATGAACGAAACATGATATATGTTACAAGCATAGGAGAACTGAGAGAAAAGACAGAACAAAAAAAGGAAAGAATGAAATATATGATTTCATGGGTTTCCTTTGGCTGGGTGATTGCTTTTAGCCCAGTCGGGAAATTCTTTGACATCGTAAATTATAGTACCCCATATAGCAAAGCAAGCAACATTTACTATGAGAGAGAATATAGAAGGACCGCAACCTCCTATCATTAGCCAGTTGGTTGGAATGTGCCCGACGGCTGCTATGATTGCATTTGGGGGTGTACCAACTGGTAATCGAAAAGAGTAAGAACACGATATAGCTGCTGGTATCATTAAATATATGGGATGTATCTCCATTGCAACACACTGTACAATAAAGTGATTATTAACAAGCTGAGGATAGATTATTGAATAGCATTATAATGTCCATGTAATTTTTTACCATTTGTGCAATGACTGGTAAAGTAATGTTTGCGATACCGACATTGGAAGTGAACTCCGTAATAGTGCCAATAAACAAACAAACAAACAGCATGATCAATACAGGGGGAAAGTATCGTAGCGGCACCAACGTCTCACCGACCTTCCTTGCCAAACCGGAAGCAATGCTGCCTCTGGATATCGCGAATCCACCGCCCAAAAGGAACATTAAACTCCAAGGCATCTTTCTTTGGATCACGTCCCATGTGACCAAACCTTCTGAAGATTTGACGGGTCTCTCACCGGCTATGAAAGCAAAAATAATGTATAGATAAACAGATAAGTTGTATTATACAGAAGAACTATTGCCCATACATAATTGCCTCTTTTATACTCACGGTCTTTGTTGTAGCTACGAAGAAAATCCAAATCTTTCGGAATGAAAAACATCATGATAGATATGAATATGACAGGCGTTGAATCTCGAACATCTCTGTCAATGAAATTCATAGATGAGTAAAGGTGCACAGTGAATATGTATTTATACATGCGCGAATTCTTTTTTCATTATGAGAGATGAATGAACCGTATGTAAACAAATATTTAACATTTCTGTTATTGCTTCAGACCATCCTCGTACGAAGCCTGGTTTTCGGAATAACCATAAAAATATACAGGTAATAAAAAGGACGGCAACTGCTGCCTCGTGAAACGTAATGCCACCTAGTTCTTTGTATCTTTCCTGTATCACCTTTAAACAGTTTTTAAACAGATTCAATAAATGAATGAAAGTAAATCGTGTAAGGAATTTACAACTATTCGTATTACTTGATTAGTAACCGTTTCTCCTTCGGTTCCAATATTCGCTATCTGTGCATCTTTGCTATGGGGTCTAAATAAACCCATGAACATTAGCTGAAGGTAAATCCACGTTAAAAAGACATTAATAATCATTTGTGGCATTTGTGCTATCATCCACTGTGTGAAACTAATGCCCTCGGATTCAGGAAATGTGCTTTCAAAAATACCCTTGAAAGTGAGATTAGTTCCGGTGCCTACAAGCGTTCCCGTACCTCCGAAAGTTGCACAGTACGCTGCGGCCATTAAATAAGCTTTCGTTACCTTGGTCGGTTTCCGTTCCCTACGATGTGTAATGTTAGAATCAGAAAATTGTTATCTCCTCCTTTGCTTTCTTTCTTTCTTTCTTTCTTTCTTTCTTTCTTTCTTTCTTTCCTTTTTCCTTTTTTGTTCTTTCCTTCTTCCCTCCCTTGCTCCCGTCTCTAATGCTTATTCATTCTCTAATTCCCTCCTTACTCATGTTTTGTTTATCTTTCATATTATTTCGTTCCATATCTTACGGTGGGTCCGTTGATCCTGGAGGAACCGGTATCTCCTCGAAGACGTGGCAGAGTCCAGCCTGAAAGGAACATGATAAGTAACACAAGAAGAGAATTAAAAAGAGAAGAGAACAAAATTAGATATCGCACCTGTTCTAATTCATTCAAAACCGCAAATATGATCGGCACCATCATGGCAGTTGCTGCAGTATTTGAAACCCACATGGATATGAAAGTAGTTACAACACAAAGACCGCCAAGTAATTTTGCATGAGTACAGCCAACTGTTCTCATCACCCCAAGGGCGATTCGTAGATGTAGTTTACTGTGTTCAATTGCGACAGCAAGAACCAAACCTCCTATGAACACCATTATAGTATCGTTCATGTAACAAGCACAAGTATCTGCTGTGCTTAATATTCCAAATATTGGGAATAACACCAGTGGAATCAACGAGGTAACTGCCATGGGGAAACATTCAGTGATCCAATATCCAGCCATCACTAATACAGCGTAGGCGCATCTAGTTTCCTACAAATATGATGAAACGAATATTCTATCATCATATTCTGTCGTAGATACATAAAAATCGCACGCTTGCTTCATATGTGTCACGCAACTCGAAGATCTTAATTTTTCAACAGAAACATTTTTAAGCAATATTTTAACTATTTTGTTTCGAAGCGTTTTAAACATAATGACAATATTTTGTTAAACAAATTTATAGAATAAGTAAACTAATGATCATAAAATAGTTGTATGATCAAGTGTTTTTTTCTTTTTTTCATTTTTAATTGTACATGTAATATATAATTAATAATTGTGTCATATTTGAAACGAGTGCCGGCGTGCGCGCGCGCGCGCGTGTGTGTGTGTATATACTATACTACTAATTTAGATATTAGTCTGATACCGGATAATTATAAACGAGCAGAGGCGGGATCAGTATCAAACCCCAGGTTATAGCAAACAATATTTTCCAGTATAGCTTGATAAACTGCCCAGTGAGGATTAACTTTTCTTGTGTTGATAACATTTCTTCTTGCGCAGTTGATCTCGTCGCCATATTTCTCTATCCTTTTTATCGTTTCTTCCAGAGTAAATTTGATACCTTTGGTTAACTAGCAAATTTTTTCTGTCTATACAGAAAAAGTGCCCATTGACTATTTGTTCGTATCTACGGATGTTTACTTTATCTATCTTTCATTTGTTATACTCGTACATTTCATGATTGTCTTTATCTGACACGTACAGGGTGAGGCATCTGATATTGTGGTATTGATTACGTTAAGCTTGATTAATGACTAAAAGAAGTATTTGTATACTATTGTATTTGTTATGACATTTACTTATATAATAATTAGTTAGGTTTAAGTACAATAGTAAATTAATAGTATTAAATTTCATGTTAATTACATATTAAAGTTCATGTCATTTATCATTAGTAATACTTTCATATAACTAGAAAGAAACTGTGGAAATGAAATGCAAGACTAGCTAAAAGAACGCTACATCGGAAGATAAGGTTATGTAAGTACAAATATTTTTTATAGTCACTATATTTGTCGGAAATCACAAATTGAAACAATCAACTATCAATTATACATATTAATAAGGATCAACATTGGATCTGTTATGTTTAAGATGTCTATTCATGCGCTGTATATTAATAGTTTACTAAATACATTACTACAAACATATGTTGGATATAAAGTTTTGTAACTTCTCTACTTGCATGTATATACATTCTTGTATTGATTTCAAATTTTATCATATATCTAATCATGATAATCATATCTCATTACAGATTTAACGTAATTTATGTAAAATATATAATATAATATATAAAAGTTTCTTTCATGGTGAGTGTCTAAATACTTTCATGGATCACGAAATAAATGTTATTTTTATTTCGTATCTGTAGCGCGATCTTAAACATGGCGCGCCAATCTGTGTGCTGCAATAACGGGCGAGAAAGAGGGCGATCTTGAAACCCTTTGCACCCCTTATGCGCTCTCATTGCATCGCTCTTAACAGTAGTTGTTCGATTCAACGTGCCTCACTCCAACCCTCGTATTCTTAGGCAATATTAATACCGAAAAATATCCTAAACATTTAAGTGAACGTGCGTCCAAAGACGTGTGTTTTAACTAGCACGTTTTCGATAAGGTAAGTAAATTGTATATTATGCACAATGTGCATGTGTATTTGCAAAATTTTGGTATTTTATGTTTGTTTGAAATACGTTGATTGTATAATACTTGACCGTTGAGCTGAATCTGTTAGAGGATAGAATTGTTTCGATTTCCTTTTTTTAATATTTTAGTAGTTGACACGATGAGACGAGATCAAATGGTAAAGGACAAAATTCAGTATGAATGTTACTATATTTGTTATCCTTTCTTTATCTAGTATTAATACTAAGGTAGTTCTTGAATAAAATCAATGACAGCTTTTGTGTCGTATCTAAATGTTGTCAGTTTTTACGTCGAATCAAACGGACGAATAAATAAAAAAATGGGTTTGAAAGAAGGAAAAGAATCGAACGCGAAAGCGATCTGCGTAGAAAGCAGAGGGAATTATTCTTTTCTTTTTATGCTTGTCCAAACTTTATGTAACTTTTTTTCTATTTCGAGTACAAAATCGTACAAGACCGTACAAATTCGACAAATCGAAAGAAAAGGAAGGAAATGCGAGTTATAATTATCAAGCCTATTACAGATTTCCTTATCGTTGTAGTTCAGTTACTGCAAATCTAAAATCACGAACGTATAAACACATGGTTCCTTCATCGATAACAGATTTCGTAGCCTTCGCTGTGATTGCCTGAAAAATGAAAAAAACCAACGAAATTTCAAAAAAGTCGGATCCATACACACAGCGTCGAAAACCATTTTTGCAGTGGGACACGTTTGGATCCTAGACGTTGAAACAAACTCAAGAATAGATACTTGTACAAAAATTTGTTTATTCTTTAAGTTATTACATAAGCAATCGAATTTTATACACTATGCCCATACATCGAGTTGATAAGCCGATAAGAATAGCAGAAGGGAGTGAAATGATAATAATTGTGGCAAAGGTGGGACAGAGGGTGCGAAGAGAACACAGTGGTGTTGGCAAGTAGGTGCGGGTAAGAGACAGTGACATGAAAAGGAAGAGGCGAACAACTAGGCCCCAGCAGAGAAAAGGAGAACACAGGCACATGTATTTACCTATACAGTCAGAGAGTAGCGTGTATATATGTACATCGGCTGGAAGGATGGCGAATGCCGCGATATCGATCCCACGCAATATTCCCACGCGTTGTTCCCAGTAGCATTTCCGCGGGCGTAGCGACGTCGAACGTGGCCGCGGTGGTGATAGTGTCTTTTTTGCCGGTGTGACCGTTACTTGTCAACTTTCTGCACATTTATACATATCATTGCTGATATAGGCGAATACAATCATTGGCCTTGACCATTGAACACTCCTATTGGCAATCGGGTCCCGATTAAGGAAACGAATGATCGAGCGATTTTCAAGATCCCGAAGAATATAAGAATAGTTGGCTGAAAGTAATAGTGTGAATACGAAGTAATATTTAATAACGCCATAGACTGTGTTTCATGACTGTAAAATCATTCAAGAGTCTTCAATCGATTCGTCATTTCCCTCTTTTTCCCCAAAAACAAGCTGCACGATACTTTTCCCTAGAAAAGGACAGGTTACACGTATTGTCTGGAAAGAACAAAAATGCTAGAGAACTCAGGTGGCTCGTGAAAATGTTTGAATGTGTATAAATATTGAATGAACTTGTAGATGCTTTTTGTGGGTATATTGTGGCTAAGTATACGGAATATTTTGCAATTTCATTAGCAGTGTAACGGGTTGACTTGCGATATTCGTTCGTATTTTTATCGATAGAATGAAAAAAATGAAAGCTTTATAGAACATTGTTTTACAAATTCAAAATGTCAAACACTGTAACGAACACTCTGTTTTCTGGAAATTTTCTGTATTTTTGGATATCATGCGAATTCTTAAATTAGTTTTAGATTTTTTTTAAACGTTTCAAAATCCGCAGTATAATATAGTAATGAGACTGGATTATATATATATATATATGATATTTGTATTGATTGTGTAGGTATTATATTGGTAAAATTTGAAACAAATCTGAAGATATTCTCTACAGAATATTTCAGCCTCAAATTGAAAATTTTAGGGTGGTTTCATAGTTATGAAACGCAGTGTACAGCCGTTAGATGAAATCAGGCGAAGAAAAGTAATGGAACGTTTTAATTATTGTTAATATTTGTTGTCTTTCAGGTAATATCGTGCGATCGTCGGTGAAAATGTGGGGAAGAGCAAGTATGGCAGCTGTAATGGTCCTGTTTCTAGCGTGTTTGTGCACGTTGAATGTGGCCTATGCCAAAGGTATAGTTTTTCTTTGCAGTTCTAACCCTTTATACTCGTGACTCATCTGTTCACATCGATTTGGATATAAACCCTTTGATAGTGTAATACAGTGACGAGACGAAGAATTCAGAATGATTTATAAAATGACTACAATTTTTTTGTTGTTTCGATCTTTTGCATATTTTTTACATTTCTGGTATATTATTAGAAAAATATGTACTTTCAACTTTTTAATTTATTAGTATAAATAATTAATAATCAATAATAAATTATTCGAAGAAATGAGAAAGGTAATTACGGAAAGAAGTTTCTTTACGAAGAAAGATCTTCCTTTTCTAAACACACTGTAGTCTCTACATAATTTTTAAACTATCACATTAATCATTAGGAACAATACTTACTATCTTCTTGTAAACTCAATAAATTATATATTTGTTGAATTCTATTAAAAAAATGAACGATGATATATAATGTATATTTTCTTTACATTTCATTTACAATTAAATTATGTTTATTCACTGCTTGGAGTAATGTCGATGGCATTTCTATTAATAAAAGAAGAATCTTCTTCATCCGACATATATATTACAATCTACGATAGAAACTATTCGAAAATGTGGGAGGTTACTTGTAAGCCTGATTTTAGACGTTAAAACAATGAAAAGAGTATTTTATAAAAGAGTATTTGTTTCAAACTTCACCAATACATTCACGATTATCGGATCATTGCAGTGCCAATGAAATTTCAAAATGTTTCCTCCACCACTCACAGATAATACTTCTACAAGAAATTACTATATACAGGGTGGTTGGTAATTGGTGGTACAAGCGGAAAGGGGATGATTCTACGCGAAAAAAGAAGTCGAAAATATAGAATAACAATTTTTTTTTTTAATTTTTCCATCGAGACAACAAAGTGCACGCGTACCGAGCGAAAATTCAAAGTCGATTTTCTCGAAAACGAAGCTTCAAACGAAAAATTTTTATTCTGTATTTTCGACTTCTTTTTTTGCGTCG